AATCTTGCGTCTGCGCAGTCGGACTGTAAACAGTTCCTAAACTAGTTTTTTCACAATACATTCCGTACAGATCTTCAGGAGAAACTCAGAAATACGCAGGGGCGACAAACAGACTTTCTTCACGCAGCATGGCTCGCGTAACATATATATACAGATATATACAGGGTTGCCCACAATGGATGAGACTTCAGAAACGATTGTTTTTGTTAAGTTCGTTTTCTTGCATTTAGGGTTCTTTGTATAGAATAAAATAGGTTAATTTTTTTGCTTAATCATTTAGTAAATCATCGAAATATTCAATTAAATGCAGAAACCAAAAATTAAGTTTTTGGTCGTCTTTATAGTTTCATCCTATGCGGGTAACCCTGTATATTCTAATAAAACGCAGAAGAAAAACAAATATGCTTAAAAAAATAAATGTAAGGATTGAAAAAAACACATAGTAAAATAGATAAGACTAGCACTGTCTACGTGCTGATTAGGTGACCCTGAATTCAAATTCAAAACTATGCGTCTAAGCTAAAATAACGACGATATCCTTTTTTTCTGTATAGATTGCGATGGTCTCTGAAATATCTACTTTTGTTTTTACTTTTTAGCAAACGGCCCAAAATAGCTAAATATTATTAGATATTTAGAATATCATCAAATGTGTTAATTTAGAATTAGAATTGTTAGAATTAATTTTATTTCTTATCCTGAAGTTCCCGGCGTTGGACGTGAAATATTTTTAAAAATCGAATTTTGAAAAAAATTGTTAAATCCTTTTTTCCCTATGTTACCCGCAGCGTACCCTCGGGTTTCCAAAAAAATTCAGCCAATTTGGCCAACTATAGCTAACATATTTAAATATACAAATATTTATATATATATAATCGAACCGCTTTTAATATAGATAAAAATAGAAAAATTTAAAATAGATATACCATCTTTACAGTTTCTCTAATTTGTAGATTCTAATAGAAGTTTCTAAACTTTTTTTTTTTAAATGGGTCTTTTATTATTTGAGGAACAACAACATTTTTTTACATTTGTTGTTTGCCTTCACATATATTTTTATACATTAATATTCAGCAAACAATGGAATATGAAGACGACATGTAGCAATAGCAAGTGTATTTGTTGTTGTTACAAAGTAAATAGTTTTAATAAACACTTTCCTAATTACTAATTTAGTGAAAAGTGTCTGTTTACACTCAACCATTGCTGTGTCTAATGCTCATTGGATTTTTTAAAGTTATAACTTTATTCTAAAAGTCGTATTTTTATTGCAGAGTTGTCTGGTTATCACTGAATCAATAAGTGGTTTCTGTAAATTCGAGATTACATTATTACATACAAAATGCTTGAGTTTTTTCAAAGTTTTTTTTTAAAACTTAAAAATATTGTTTTTGAAAAATATACTTTTCAGAATTTAGGTTTAAAATGACGAAGAATAAAAAAGATGAATACTCGGAGCTAAGCAGGGAAAATCTTTTAATATTTTTTTTAATAAGCATATCGCAAGCCAAGAGTTTTATTTTTAACCAAACTACGGCATATTTTTTACTAATCACAATTTACTAGTTTTCTACTTTAAATAATTACATAGGGTGTTCCCAGTTTAAGCACTTCGACTTAATGTAGAGGGATTCTTTTATCAAAGAGGGGCATATTTTATTTACTATGATACCCTTCAAACCTTTGTCTGAGTAAAAAGATATCCTCGAAAATATGCCATAATTTTAATAATTTCCAATTGTGGTTTTCTGTTTTTTACTTTTGGATTTATGCATTTCAGACAAGGAAATAAATTGGCAAAGTTAACACTTTTTCAGATAGACAAATGAGGATATCACACTCATGTTTAAACGGGCACTGTTGTGAATCCAGCAAATATTTCTTGCAATGAGGTGCACTTGAAATACGTCGACTGATCCTTTCGATTCCTTTTTCTGTTTTACTCTGAATGAAAAAAATTGTGTTTTACTACAAAATATTTCTGCAGGCTAAGTAAAAAAATGTAAATTTTTGTGCGTAAAAGTTTTTGGAATTTCTATCTCTTAATTTATTTTTTTAAAGCTTACTATTTTCTTATTTATTTATTAAATATGAATCTACAAAAGCAAATATTTATATCTATATTTAAATATTTAAATATTTTAGATATTTGTTCTTTTGTTCATCTTTGTTTATAAAATCTTTAACTTATTTTTTTAAATCTTTTTTTTAACCATAAATTGAAGATTTAACATTTTTCAGACAAATCTCTATTCATGTTCCTCTTCAACAAACAAGGCAGATTAACAAAAAAACTCGTTGAAAAATACATTTTGTATAAAAATTGGCACATGTTATTTTTCTTTCTTGATAAAACAAAACATATTCTATATATATAGTCTAGTCATATATACCGTCCAATTCACAAGCCAGGCGGATTATAGCACGTCTCGTTGAAAAATCCTGAAAATAATAAATAAGGTGAAATTAATCAAACTGAGCTGAAAACTTTAGAATGTTGGATATTGAGATCAATTCTTGATCTCCTGGTTTTATTAAACCCGAGATTAGGTTAATACGCATTATATATCCAAGAAAGAAGTTTAAAATTCAGCCAATCAACGTGTCATGTTTAATTCGCACTTTATCTTTTGAAAAACCGGTTTTTAATTTAATGCATTTCTGGTGTTGATTGTGTCATATTAATTGGACTAATGTTCGATTGACCGAACGTAAGTTTTGGGTTAATGTTTATTAAAACTAATGCTCAAAATTACTATAATTCACAAATGTAATAAAATGGGTTTGTTTAATAAGTTCATAAAAGCATGATTAAATTTATGTTTGTTTAAATGCTTTAAAAGCGGGATTGTGAAGTACAACAAGTCAGTACAACATATGTACTGTACATGCCAAGTGTAGAGTCGGTCGACCCAGCACGTTTAATGCAACAAATGTAGCCCGGATATCAAGTTCAAGATCGGGATAGTGAATACGTGAATTTGAATGAAAAAAAAATTTATTATTATATTAACTTTTTCATGTAGATACACCCCTTCTTACAACTCACTTGAAATCTTTCATAACGGTCTTTGCAAGAAATAGCTTAATTTTCAATGTTTTGCAAAAATGTTTGCAGAATTTCTTATAAAATAATATTGGTTAAAATCTGGTAGTATTTGTTCAAGACGATCCTCAGCCGTTAGTGAAATATCTGTCAACAAACCTAAGACATCACAGGTTTCCAATAATCTGCAATAAAAGATCAACACAATAAATTTTTGTAATGATTAAAAAGTGTAATTTTAGGTTGCCCTCCATGAAAAGATATAGCAATACCAGACTTACAATTCGGTAACCTTGAAACCTTTATCTGAAAAAGTGGAAGATAACTCAAAAAGTGTTTATTTATGAATTTTTCCATTGTTTTGACAAGCAAAGTCGCTTTTTCAGAGAAACGTGAACATCTAATTTGTTTATTTTTCCCTTACAGCCCCTTACAGTCCCTTACAGACCCTCACAGCTAGTCCCTTACAGTACCTTGCAGTCCCTTACAGTCCATCACAGTCCCATACAGTCCCTTTCAGTCCCTTACAGTCCCTCACAGTCCCTTACAAAAAAGTGAAGAAAAAATCAAATTTGAAAATTAATTTCAAGAAAAAATCTGAAACAAAGTGCATGATAATTGTAAATTATTTATCAATTAGAAACTCTATGTAAAATAAGGGAATTTTAAAACTAGTATATATTTGAAAACTCCACCGTTCTAACATTTTTTCACTGATATGTTTCCAAGAATATTTTTCGACAAAAATTCGCCTGTTAACATTCAAAATTTAGCGTGTTTGTAAAATTTTCTTTCGGCTTTATCTCAAAAATGGTCCTACCGTTAACCAAAGAAAAAGAGAATAAATAATGTTCTTAATTCGAAATTTAGAACTATGACATAACTTTAAAATCCCTAAAAACAGTTTTAGGAAAAGTATTGAGGATAACTAAGAATATTAACGTTTTATAATTAAAAACAAAAAAAATACAAAACTTGTTTAGGCCATCACTTATTTTAGGTGAATTTCATCAACCAAGCACTAAAAAAGGAAGATGAATCAAGAGAAAGAAAATTATGCCTGGAGATAAGAAAAATGAGTTTAAGTAGTACTTCACAAAAAGAAGGAGAAAGAAGGCAAATTTTATTTTTTTATTTATTTTAAAATTGAAATTTATCAATAATTATAAATCACCTAGCACTGAATATTATATAAAGGTTCTGTACAGTAATTTGTTAATGTTTAAAGGGACTGTAAGCGTAATTTCAAGTGAGCTCCAATGAAAGATATATATCGTTACCCTTATAAGCTTTGTCTCATTAAGTATGCATTAGATATCATTGTTTATATTGTGGTTTCTCTACAGAAGGTTGCGCATTTCGATTACAGGAAAACATGAAGGAATTCAACATTTTTAAACCTATAAAAACTACAATATCTTCCACATTATTGATCAGATAAAGGTTTCAAGGGTACCGTTGTGAATCAAGCATCGCCATTTTTGCATAGAGATCAACTTGAAATTACGCTTACAGTCCCTTTAACTATTGAGAAAGGAAACGAAGAGTTAAAGCTTATCTCATAATCCCCTCAGATGTACACAACCAACCATCCTATACAAAAATTGATAGGGTGGTCGATTGTGTACATCGCAATATGTTTCTTGAGGGTGGTTGAATGTAAATAATAGAATGTTAGTATAGAGTTGGTGTAGACACATCGTTAAATATGGATTGTAAACAAAGGATTTTATGCTGCATGCAGTACATTCAGTTGTTTGTTTACGTTCATGAAAAAATTAATAAATTAAAAATTGTCAAAATGTTTGCAGGCCACATTCTAGAACTCTCTTTAAATCTAAAGAAACATCTTTATATTGATTAACTCCATAAAATACTTTATGTACAGAGCGTCCCCTATCATATTTTAGATTATCTCCAAGTTTTAACGCTAAAAAAAATCATAATACTCGAAAAACCTAGCATTTTCCACAATAAAATTCTTACAATAGCTTTATTCAAATTTTCAAAATTATTCATTCTCCTTAAATTATCTGATTATAGGTCCCGAAAATCGTAATTTAGACCGATTTACGATCTTATATGATGTGGGACACCCTGTATTTAATCCTGTATCTGAAATGGACCACCCAGTACTAGTATGTTTTATGTGTTCACTATATTATAAGTTATTGACTCTGTACCAAGTATTTCTTGATCTTATTATATTTTAATGTTTAACCCTGTAAAGATTGAAGAGGAAAAAGAGGAAAAAATCAAAACAAAGAGAAACATCTGCGTCATCTACAGAACGCAAGAACAAGGTTAGATTTCCTTTATTTTACAGGGAAAGGGGGTGTACACATATTTCCAATAATGATAATTGAAGGACAGCAGTATGATTTTGGGAAATTATATTGTAACTAAAAAATAATCAGAAATAATGAAACTACACTAAACAATAGACATTTACCTAGAAATACCCAGTTAAAACTAACATGATTATAAAACCACTTGATTTATCACTTTAAATCTAAAAACAAAAATTTCCCTTCCTTGGCAAGAAAATTGGTCTAACAATATGTAATTTTCTTTAAAAGGATTTTAGAAAAATTTAAACAATTTCTAATAATGTTTAAAGCTGGAAAACTATAAGAATGTAGATTAAAGAATAGAAAACTTGTATGTTGAGATTAAGATAAAAAGTAAGACAAAGAAGAAGAAGAAATGGAAAAAGAAGAAGAATTGTGAAGAGAAAGCGGAAAGTATTCTAAACATAGAAACTCAGACAAAACTCTCTCAACAAGCAGAAAATCCATTTCAGTTGGAGGAGTATGTTAATTCAGGTATAGGGCTGAATAAAAATACATTACTAGTCCCTTTAAAAATGAAAAATTAAGTTCTTTGTCCCTTTTTAGAAATGTAGAATTACGTTCTAGGTCCCTTTAAAAATGTAAAATTATGTTCTTGGTCCATTACAAAATGTAAAATTACGTTCTTGGTCCCTTTAAAAATGTAAAATTACGTTCTTGGTCCCTTTGTAAAAATGTAAAATTACGTTCTCGGTCCCTTTAAAAATGTAAAATTACGTTCTTGGTCCCTTTGTAAAAATGTAAAATTACGTTCTCGGTCCCTTTAAAAATGTAAAATTACGTTCTTGGTCCCTTTGTAAAAATGTAAAATTACGTTCTCGGTCCCTTTAAAAATGTAAAATTACGTTCTTGGTCCCTTTGTAAAAATGTAAAATTACGTTCTCGGTCCCTTTAAAAATGTAAAATTACGTTCTTGGTCCCTTTGTAAAAATGTAAAATTACGTTCTCGGTTCCTTTAAAAATGTAAAATTATGTTCTTGGTCCCTTTAGAAATGTAAAATTACGTTCTTGGTCCCTTTAGAAATGTAAAATTACGTTCTTGGTTCCTTTAAAATTGTAAAATTATGTTCTTGGTCCCTTTGTAAAAATGTAAAATTACGTTCTAGGTCCTTTTGAAAAATAAAAGGGGGTATAGGCTGAAACCTAAGAATCTAGGAGTAAAACAATACCTATATGACATCTATCTGATATTCCTGTCTCGAGAAATTGATATAAAACTGTCAAAATTATACCAAAACGTATATATGTACGATTTTTGTATAAGATTCGTATAGTGGTGTTAAACAGATCATATTTAACAAATACGCAACCAATCTGAAAACAAGGATATCCCAGAGGAGCCGGAGAAACTAAAGTTCCTTTAAGTTCCTTTTTAAAATTAGAATTACGTAATTGGTCCCTTTTTAGAAATATAAAACTACGTTATAAGTCCCTTTTAAAATTAAGTTTTTTGTTCCGTTAAGGAAAATTAATGTTATTTTTCCTTATACAACTAAAAAATAATGTCAACAGTCTCTACACTATATGTAAAAGCGTGTCCCTTTTCAAATGTAAAATTAGGTTATAAGTCCCTATAAATTGCAAGTTTAGTTATGATGAGTTCTTTAAATTAAATGTTAAATTATGTTATTAGTCCCAATACAAATATAAAACACTGCACTGATGTCATTGTCTAGACAACTCTGAAAGTTATTCATCATGAATAAGGCGTCACAACGCCTTGGCTTTTGGTTCCCCATATCACTTTTTTGTAGCCCTGGGCATATACATTTTAAAACTACAACGCACATTTGTTTCTAGTTTAAATTTAAAATGAGTAATTGGCAAAATGCTGCTAGACTTTTGGGTAAGTGCAGGTCTTGGTTCGCAGTAAAAATAAGTTGAAGGTTCTTTTTAAAATTTAAAATCATGCTGGTTGTCCCAGTAACATGTAAAAATGTGTTTTCATTAAAATCTTAAATTACATGAGGGGTGTGAAGTATACCTTCATCACGGTGGACTAGGGTCAATTTGAATTAGAACCGGTCCGAGCCCTTGTAACACCAGCCTTTAGGTACCCGCGGCAAGTTCCGGCCCGACCTTATCCTATGCCGGCTCGGTTTCAACTTTCATGGTGCGCCAAGACTTTTACAGTACCCGGTCTATCATAGGCCTATTTTACCTACCCCACTAACTTAGTATATTGTATTATAAATGTAAGATTACTGCAAGTGTCCCTATAGTATGTTGTGTTATAAATGTAAGATTACTGCAAGTGTCCCTTAGTATGGTGTATTGTAAATGTAAGATCACTGCAAGTGTCCCTTAGTATGTTGTATTATAAATGTAAGATTACTGCAAGTGTCCATTAGTATGTTGTATTATAAATGTAAGATTACTGCAAGTGTCACTTAGTATGTTGTGTTATAAATGTAAGATTACTGCAAGTGTTCCTTAGTATGTTGTGTTATAAATGTAAGATTACTGTAAGTGTCCCTTAGTATGTTGTATTATAAATGTAAGATTACTGCAAGTGTCCCTTAGTATGTTGTATTATAAATGTAAGATTACTGCAAGTGTTACTTAGTATGTTGTATTATAAATTTTAGATTACTGTAAGTGTCCCTCAGTATGTTGTGTTATAAATGTAAGATTACTGCAAGTGTCCCTTAGTATGTTGTGTTATAAATGTAAGATTACTGCAAGTGTCCCTTAGTATGTTGTGTTATAAATGTAAAATTACTGCAAGTGTCCCTTAGTATGGTGTATAATAAATGTAAGATTACTGCAAGTGTCCCTTAGTATGTTGTGTTATAAATGTATGATTACTGCAAGTGTCCCTTAGTATGTTGTGTTATAAATGTAAGATTACTGCAAGTGTCCCTTGGTATGTTGTGTTATAAATGTTGGAATACTGCAAGTGTCCCTTAGTATGTTGTGTTATAAATGTTGGAATACTGCAAGTGTCACTTAGTATGTTGTGTTTTAAATGTATGATTACTGCAAGTGTCCCTTAGTATGTTGTGTTATAAATGTAAAATTACTGCAAGTGTCCCTTACTATGTTGTGTTATAAATGTTGGAATACTGCAAGTGTCCCTGAGTATGTTGTGGTATAAATGTAAGATTACTGCAAGTGTTCCTTTAAAGCTACAATATTACGTAAAAATGTTTAGAATGGTCTGAAGAAGAAGGAGAGGATGAGGCAACAAAACTAATTACAAAACAAATAACTTTCAAAGTTAGTTTTTAATATTAATTCAGTACATGCTTAATTATGTATTTTCACACACGCACACAGAATAACAAACATTCATAATAATTAGGAACTGATGCATTGTAATTTCGATAACCTTAATTTTGGAGAGTTCCATGCTCGATTCACTACGGTTCTCTTTCATTTTTTCAATCTGAGTAGCATTGTTGACAATATCGTCGTCTATCGTCGACAGCTCCATTAATATGCAATTTATGCATGCAGTTGTACAGTTGAGTAATTTAGAATGGAAATTTAGTAAGTCAATACAGAACGTGTAGAAGTGACCAATGTTTAATCACTTGAACAGTTAATATATCGTATCAATAATTTTCGAAATTTCTTCTCATTTCAAAGATTTCTGATGTCCAATAAAGAAACTGAGTTCTTGACCACAAATTCAAATTTTGTATTCCCTACAATGAAAACTGTGGAATTAGGAAGACAGCAGTAAATCAATAGTAAAGTGTATTTGATGTAATTACAAAGCAAATAGTTACACCAGTGACTTATAAAATTACTTATTCAGTGAAATGGGTCTGTTTACACTGAATTCATAATTCGAGCCTAAAAGTCGTCATCCTATTCCAAAGTTTTTTGATTCTCAATGTTTATATTTGCAAACTAATGTCGCAGACCTTTGATGTTTTAAACTACAGCGTTCGGCGTTTATATCAATACAATGAAGACGAAGTTTCTAATTAAGTTTTAAATTCGACCTTTTTCAAGTGAACATGTCAACAAAGAGAAGCTGTTAATTGGCAGTTTCGCTGTGTTAACAACTTAACATCATATGTTAAAAAGCTTAGTGGAAATCGAAATTGAAACCGAAAGTCGTCTTTTTTATATTGCTATATACGACGACGACGACGACGACTTTGATTTAGATTAAAAACCTTTAGAGTGAAATTTAAAAAGTGAGTTTGTTGCAAAAAAAACTCGGTTCCATTATTCCATATTATATTTTAAACCATGATATTTTCTATAGACGACAAGGAGGAGGAGAAAGTGCAGGAAGAGTGTAAAACTACAAACAGATCAAACTATTGCAGAGAAGGACATAAAACAAAAAATACTAAAGGTTATTATTTATAAACATTTAGTTTAATTTTGAAGAATTATATGAAGCTCAGAAGGTTTAAATGCCCTTGGCGCATCAACTAAACTAGAAAATATGAAGCGCAAACTTTTGAAAATAGAATATGAACAATTTAGAAAACAATAATTTTAAACTTTGAAAGGGACTTCAAGCGTACTACTTTTAAGTGACCGTCCATGCCAAAAAAAAAATGCATTTTTACATGTTTTTACTATTTATTGCCGACATAATGTTAAATTTCTTGTTTTTAACTTTCTTCAGATAAACTGTGGGAGTTTATATTTGAGTTTGCTGGGGTTTTTTTAATATTATTTTTTTAAAATAGTTACAGAAAATACATAGGATACAATAAAATTACAGAAGAACTATAAATAGATCATATAGGAAAAAATATATTATATTTTTAGATTGCGGATCCGAACACTGCCCCCTCGGATCCAGATTCCGGGTTCTATCCGGTACCGCCAGGTAAACAATTATATAAAGTAGTAATCTTTCCTTGTTTGTGTGTTTTTTGTATGTCAAATCATAACTGATGCACCCCTGGACTGATTTGCCTCTAATTTGATTGGGGACCTCGGGAGAACCACGGGCATGTTCTTAGCTTGGTTTTGAGATTCTAAGTTGAAAATTCAGGGAAGAATAGCTAAAATCGTAATTCAAGACTAAGTTCGGGTAAACGGCGGGAGTAACAATGAGTAACCTGGCAAACACTGGGTTCCCAACCTAGTAAGAATTTTATATTTTTAGAGAAATCAATGAGTTCGCATTAAAGGAACTCTCTAGTGCATGGACACAAAACCTCTATCTGAGCCCCTGCTTTAGAGAAACAGCAATTAAATTTATGGGCAACGCCGGGCACTCAAGCCCGACTAACCGTCTGGATGAACTATGCCATTGCAACGCCGAGCTCTAGGCCTAGCTTGAGATGTTTTATATCCTTTATTTTTTCCTAGGGATGGATAAAAGAAGATGTTTCTTTCAAAAGAATGCTAAACCTTTACAATGTTCTATTTGTCAAAACGGTAATCATTAGAATTCTTGCTTAACCAGACAGGTTTAATTTCAAGTGGCCCTACATAGTCCATGCAAAGATGAAAATGTCCAATTTACAACGGTACCCTTGAAACCTTAATCTAATCAGTAATCACAAAAAGGGAATATAACATGGGTTTTTATAGACTTATAGAACAGTGTTTATTTCTGTGATTTTCTCCACTTCTTAAACGCAAGAAACAAAAACCATGGATATCTATTTCACACTTGATCAGACAAAGCTTTTAAGGGTGCCGTAATAAATCGGACATTGCCATCTTTGCATGGAGAAGGGTTGCTTAAAATTTTAAGAAAAAAATTGAAAAATTGAAAAATTAAAAGTGTTCAAAAGCATTTATATTCAACAACATTTGAAATACATCAGGTGGTAAGCGATAATATCAATATAATGAAGNTTTATCAATTTTCTCCTTATAGACGCAGCAGATAGAAGTAAGATTAGTAGCGATCAAAAGCGCTTTTTTATCGCATTAAGCCTATACCCCCTTTCATTTTTCCCGAACACTCCCTTTAAGTAAAATTCCATTAACTTCCCTGTAAACTATGTCCAGGCCTATATAAAAAGTATCAATGAGTTGGTGAGGTAAATACAAAGACCAAGGAGGTGCGACACTTCAAAGTCGAGACTGTGTACCCAAATTTGATGACTAAGTTTCAGTGCTGTCTTTATCTCAGTGGGTATACACCTTTGATATTTCAATCATATGCATTCGACTAGATGTAGTCAAACTTTGATATTTCAATCATATGCATTCGACTAGAAGTAGTAAAACTTTGTAATATCAAAGTTTAACACCACACAAAGATTCAGACATCATAAATTTCAACTTTCAACTTTCAAATTTCTAATTTCTGTTTTATTAGTTTTTGTCCCTCAATGTGAAGATTTTGTGACTAAAAGTAACAAATCGAGAGCAGCAATCATAATTTTTTGTATAGACATAATAGAATAAACCTTCAGTTGTTTGATTCTGTGTGGAAAATGTCAATTTTGGCCAATTTTCAATAACATGTTTTACGTAAAAATTTACGTTTTGCGCAAATTACGCAAAACAATGCACAAAAACTCGCAAAAAAACACTGCGCTTCATGCGCAAAAGTTCGAAAATACAATATTTGCGCGAAAAATACGCAAATTTTGCGCAATAAAATATGGTTATTTCGTGAAAAGTGTTCAAAAGCATTTATATTCAACAACATTTGAAATACATCAGGTGGTAAGCGATAATATCAATATAATGAAGACGACATTTTTGTTTTAATTGTAAACATGGTGTTTTTAATTACAAGCTTAAATGTAATTACAGAGAAGCTTTTCTTAATTGACAGCTTCTCTTTTTTCCATGTTTTTTGTGTATTCATCCTGTTTAAAAGCCTCATATATAAATAAAAATTGAAATCAGAATTCGTCTTCATTGTATTGATATAATCGCCTACCACCGTATTAAAACAACGAATACGCGATATCAATTTATATTATGCGGGTAAAATGGATAAAAATTCTTAAAATTTCAAACAAAAAGATGGAAATTTTGAACTTATTAATACTTTCTTTACAACTATTAGGGGAACATATGTTCTTTATAAATGATTTCCCCTTTTCAAACTCATTTTCCCGAGATATCATGTATACGAGGACGGAGAAATGTATGATGTAATGTATACGAGCGCGGCGAAAGCATCATTTCTTTTAGTGTTTTTTTCGCTCCATTGGGGGAAATCTTTTATTGGGTAAAAAAGTAATAAGAATGATAAAAAAACTTGCATTTTAATGTACATGGCCAGCCCCCCCCCNATATTTCAATCATATGCATTCGACTAGATGTAGTCAAACTTTGATATTTCAATCATATGCATTCGACTAGAAGTAGTAAAACTTTGTAATATCAAAGTTTAACACCACACAAAGATTCAGACATCATAAATTTCAACTTTCAACTTTCAAATTTCTAATTTCTGTTTTATTAGTTTTTGTCCCTCAATGTGAAGATTTTGTGACTAAAAGTAACAAATCGAGAGCAGCAATCATAATTTTTTGTATAGACATAATAGAATAAACCTTCAGTTGTTTGATTCTGTGTGGAAAATGTCAATTTTGGCCAATTTTCAATAACATGTTTTACGTAAAAATTTACGTTTTGCGCAAATTACGCAAAACAATGCACAAAAACTCGCAAAAAAACACTGCGCTTCATGCGCAAAAGTTCGAAAATACAATATTTGCGCGAAAAATACGCAAATTTTGCGCAATAAAATATGGTTATTTCGTGAAAACCCTACTCACAGAGCTATTCCATTTATCTAAAATATTTCTGTTTTCCTGGATTTACATGTTTTAACGTCCTGGATTTTCAGTTTAAAATTTGATAGGATAAATCTTTATAAAAATTGTTTAATTAAATAATACCAGGTTGATATGCGCAGCAGAATGGTGAAAATAGATGTAAACTTGGTCAAGGTAAACAATTCAAAATGATACTTAAAAGTTTTTTTTTGACTTTAGTGAATAAAAAAAATATACCTCCAAGTTTCAAAGATATAGGGATAACAAATTTGAGTTTGTAACAAAAACTCAGTTCCTTTGAAATGAAGGGAAAGGGAAGGGTTAATCCCTTTAAGAAATTTCTTGTGTTGCATTAGATGAATAACATTTAAAATTTATAACTTCTATTCTTATGATATTATAAGAAATCCATAATGGTATAACTTTTGGATTAAATGGGGTATGGTTTTGTTTTCTTGTTCTGGTTAGCATCGACTTAAATAAATGTTGTGACGTAACCTTATATCTGAGTGTTTCTATTGTTTTTACTAGGTAAAGAAGAATCTAGAATATCTGGAGGAAATATACGAGACACTATTCCGGAAAATAAACAGACTTCTCCCTTGAAAACACACACTGCTGGAAACCCTCAGTATTTTTAATCGTTTGGTTTATTTTCATAGCTGAAAACTTTCACTAAGCCTGAGATTAGGTTAACACGCATTCGATATCAAAAAAAGAAGCTTAAAATTCAACCACTCAGCGTGTCATATTTAAGACGCTCTTTAACTGGCGTTGATGTCGTCATATCAATTGAACTAACGATCGAACGTAAGTTTTGGATTAATGTTTATTAAAACTAACGTTCAAAATTACTATAGTTCACAAATGTAATAAAATGTGTTTGTTTAATAAGTTCATTTAAACGTGATATAATATTTGTTCAAATGCTCTAAAAGCCGGTTTGTGAACCTAGCTGACTTTAGTTCTATCGGATATTAGTCCAATCGATAAAGCATCAAATCTGTAATTGTTATCAAACGTAACTTGTATACAGTGGGGTATCCAAAACAGAGGATTATGAAGAAAATCAAAAGTGTGTACATTGGAAAATCAGATTTATCGATCAGGATTAAGGATATCCCATTCTAAAGTTTTCAGCTCAGGTCAAATAAGAAGTGTTGCGTAATGTATTAAAAACTAAATTTGTATTTTGCTCTCTAATAAACATGTCAGATTATTTCAGAGCGCCTTTACAACCAGAAAACCATGAATGTTTAAAACTAGATTTTAAAACGATCTCTACAAGTCAAATTCAAAATTTTTGGTATTTTGTGTATTTTTGATGACTTGTTTATTTATCATATATTGGTTTGAATGGGATGTATTTAAATGACCATCTTACAATTTCTTCAGAATTTTTTTCAAAACCATGAACTCAGGAGATTAATTTAGTTTTTGAGAGAGACTGTTAACTATTCTTAATCTTTAGAAAAATAGTTAAAAGCAATATCTCAAATGTAAACTATTCCGTTCAGCTGGTTAATTTAGTCTTAAAATGAAAAACCCTGTGCACCTGCATTGCTTCAGCAATACTTAAGTCTATTGTAAGTGGTTACAAGGCAAATAGTTCTACTTACACTTAATAAATCTGTACTTAAGCTAATTGGAATATTTTAAGTCATAACTAGAGTCTAGCAGTCGTCTTCCTATTCCGGAGTTTCTGGTTCTCATTGTAATATTTTTACTGAGAGGATGTTTACCAGTGTACACACTTCCATACCCGGGGTGGCATTTGAAAAAAATACAATTCTGTAAAAACAAAATCTAATCTAAAACTGATATAAATCTTTTCTGTCTTGTCAATTATAGATAATAAACTTGAAAGATCTAAGACTTCTTTCTTTACTTCAGAGAAACAATAAAACGCACGTTTACGTAAACGAAATTTATTTCAAATAAAAGTATGATTTTAAACAATAAAGTGAGCAATTATTTTTTGTCTTAAAAAAATGTCACATTGCAATGCTTAAAACTAACAAAAGAACACTTATATTTTTTTTTGTAAATTTTTCGTCCATTGTAAATTAAATAATATATATCACGTAGATAATATTAAAGATGCAGTGTATATTGTAGTTTATAGGCAATACAGAGATTTTGTGAATAAATTGAGATTATTTACATCTTACAATCATGTTAAACAAAATGATAAACACAATCACAAAAGTCAATAAATTTGTCAACAAAAATTAAATTTAAACAAAAATAAAAGTTTTCCAAAAACAAATGAACTGATTACTACTTTCCTCAAACTCCAATGTTCTTATCCTTATATCTTTGCAACCCTTGATGTTTCAAACTTTGATTTTTTTGCTAGATCATGCAATTAGTCATCGTTAGAAATAGCTAAGTTCTGCGACATCAGGTTGCAAATTTAAAACGATTTAAAAATTCTAGCTTGAGGCGAGTAAAGTACAAAACAGAGATTACATTATTCTTAAACGAGATATAACACACTTTGTCTAATCTATATTCTAACTAGGTATGTCTGGGTTTAAGAGATTTATTTTTATTTTTAGTTTTAATCTTGTTTGTTTTTTATCTCCTTTCCTGTGATATCTACAAGTACCCCCAGCTCATCTAAAAACATAAAATGGTATTTAAAGGTTCTGAAAACAAAATTTTAAGTGATTAATATTTTAAACGATATCTTTTCATATCTTCTTCTGGGCAACAATTATTAAGATAAGATATTTTAAAATATGATCTAATGGGTTATTAAAAATTCGATGTTTTTTTGCGTTATGGTAATTGAAAAAAAAACTAAACTGATTCTCTAGTTTTAGTTTGAAATTTACCTTTCAATTATTGAAATTAAAAATATGTATCCAATGGGTCATTGACGTTTTTTTTGTTGTGCCATGGGTAGGGATATTAACGTTTCATTTTTTTTTTAAACGATCGTTTCGTTACGAAAACGACGACGAAAAATTGAAAAGGAAACAATCGTATTTTTAAAAAGTTCAATTTTTAAAAATGGTCGTTTTTAAAATGAGCGTTTTTATAAAACAATCGTTTTTATAAAACTCGTCGTTTTGTTAAGGATCGTTTTTATAAAAATCGTCTTTTGGTTAACAATAGTTAACGACAAACCTTCGTTAACGATCGTTAACATAATTGTCAATAAATTCGTTCTTATAAAATCGATCGTTTCTCAAAAGCGATCGTTTTTTAAAAACAATCGTATAAAAATTGTCGCAAATCTTTTTTGCTATCGTTTTTTAAAGCAATCGTTATTCTTTTTTTAAAAGTTCAAAACGAGTGATTCGTTTTTTAAAATGATCGTTTTTTCCGAAAACAAAACGATCGTTTTTGAAAACGATCGTTTAACGATAGTTTTCAAAAACTATTAACAACCCTAACCATGGGGTAATGGGCATTTGTAAGAAAAAATTAAACTGATTCCATATCAGTATAGTTTTACTTTAAAATTCACCTTTCAAATATAGAGATGTGAATTATTGCTAATCTATTATAAGAATTTGTATCTTCTGGGTCATTGAAAATTCGATGTTTTTTAGTGTCATGTTAAAAAAAGCTATAAACTGATTCCAATTCACTATTTTTAGATTAAAATTCACTCTTAAAAACAGATGTGAATTATTGGAAATTAAAAAATATTTATTTACCAGTTACCTAAGGGTATGAATTGTTCATGTGCATCAATTCGTTCAAAACCGTCTCCACATGAGCTAAAAAAAAGTTAGCATTACAAATCTGAAATAATGATATTCCAGCTCAGTACACAGGGCAAACAATAATTAAAACAATACTTTTTTATGAAATAAAATTATTCTTTTAGTGTTACCTCTGTAGATATTATAAAACATTTTTTAACAAATTAAGTATTATAAAACAATTTTAACAAACTAAAATGTTTTATTGGAAATACAGTGGTAGACGATTATATTTATACGATAAAGACGACTTTGGATTTAGATTTGATTTAAATCGAGAATCTTTGATTACTTGTAAACTTGTAATTCGAAAAAATCTTGTTAACAATAAAACTTTAAAAAAGTAGTCTTCATTGCATTGATATATTCATCTTCAACTGTATCTAAAATTTTGTATTCTTTTTTGTACTATTTTCATTTGAAATAAACGACAGTTTTTACAACATTGAAAACGACTATAAAAAAGATTTATTACCACTTACCGAGAATAAACAAAAATATTTGAGTGAATTTGGGTAGTTTATTATCAATTTTAAAATATAATACTCAGCGTGGAACAAATTCATAAAAGTAATTGTTAGAAAAAGATAATTCTCTACGTGCATCAATTTCAAGCAAACAAAATCAAAGTTCTAAGACCAACTTTTTAAGGCCTGACTTCTGAGTTTAGGTTAGGGTACTAGGGACGTTTTAAAACAAATTAAAAACATAAATTTTAGATCTATAGTTTAATCAATGAAAATTGAAAAAAAAGTCAAGAAATTTGATCGTTCTAGTATGAATTGTTTTGAAGTTATAAGAACAAGACGACAGGGGCCTGTGGAAAACACCCCCCCCCCCCACATTCAATTTATCCTTGATCAGACAAATGTTTAAACGGTACACTTGTGAATAGGATATGCTACCTTTATAAATTGAGGGTCACTTGAAATTACAATATCTGAATATTACCTGTCCGGTGTTGACCGGCAGGGAGACCTAACATGAAGATGAACCAGGTCCTGGTCATCATAAACACCAAGTAGTTCCTCCTCCAGGTTCAGCAGAGCAAGCTTGTCCTGTGTAAGGCAGACTGCTCCGTTAACTGTATCAGTGTGAAAATCAAGAAGTTCATAATCATCCTTGGAATTTTCTTCAGCAGGAACAAGAACAGCAAGGTCAACATGATCAAGAGCATCATTAAATACCTCATCTTCATCTTCTTCCTTTGCAAACTGATCATTTTCTTCTTCAGATTCATCCTCATCCTCTTCACCCGAAGAACTTTCACCAGAGTCATCATCATCATCTTCATCACATGAACCCTCTTCTTCATCTTCATCAGCATCACCATCATCATCATCTTGTTCTTTTTTTTCAGATCCTTCCTGGTCTTGTTTTTCTTCCTTTATCTGCTGTTTTTCTTCATTGTTCTTCAAAACCTTTTCTTCAATTTGCTTCTCCTGTTCCTCCTGATTTTCCTGCTTCTTCTCCTCATATTGTGCCTTCTCCTGCTCTATCCCCTGCTCCTTCTCTTTTATCTCTCCAGGAGAAGGAACTACGTCATGTTTGGCCAAGAACCTGAAAGTAAGTTTGGTGCTTGGTTTTATAATTGCTCCTCTTGACATATCTTCAACTTGATAAAAGCATTCACTAAGTCCAGCGGTCTCAGCTCCCTGAAAATATTAAAAATAATTTTATTTTCAACAGATAAAATCTATTTTGATTTCCATTGTCTATTAGTATAATTATTATTGTCATTCATGTTAATACCCAAACCTGGAAAGAGAATAGCAGAGACTGATCCTTGGCGATAATGTTCTCCTTGATGGAAATTGGCAGTATCGGGTTCAAAACGGTCAATCCTTCGGAGGCAGAAATCAGCTTGAGACAAAGATTCCTTTCCATCCCGGGTTGATAGTTGATGAACTGTACCTGGGTTTGGTAGATAGAATCAACCTTCACCTGGTAGCTGACGGTCAGATCTCTGTTGTTTCCTGCATTGTCCTCAGCGCGCTTGAAGTATATCGGAGTGAGGATGCTCGTGTTGGGAGAGGTTGGATAGCAAGGGAATAATCCAACTCCTTTCTTGGAAACTCCAGAAACTATTTTCATAGAACTTATTGCAGCTTCAGGTCTCAAGGGGTACTCAGGAATAGGAGACACTGGATACTCTTTTACCTGGGTAACTGGATATTCTTTAACTGGGGTAACTGGATAATTCTTTACCCGGGTAACTGGATATTCCATGACCTTGGTAACGGGATATTCCGTTACCTTGCTAACTGGATATTCCATGACCTGGGTAATTGGATATTCCGTGACCTGGGTAATTGGATATTCCGTGACCTGGGTAATTGGATAATCCTTTACCTGGCTGACAGGATATTCCATGACCTTGGTAACTGGATATTCCATGACCTTGGTTATTGGATAATCTTTGACCTGGGTAACTGGATATTCCGTGACCTTGGTAACGGGATAGTTAACATGTATTTGAGTAACATGTGTTTCTGTAACAGTGCCTTGTTTCTCCAGTTTGCAAGGTGAGCTGGGGCCGGATTTGGTTGGGTTCGCAACTCTTCTCTTTGCTAATCCCACCTCGATTTTGTTCTTAATCCTGTTTGATCTTCGGGGTTTTCTGCACCTAGACTTCTCTATATGCCCAATACTATCCTTCCTTCCTCCTCTTACACCCTCTGCTTCAACCTTCTTGGTCTTCTTCATCTCCTTTTTCCCCTTGTTCTCCATAGTCAAGTCCTTGATGTCGGCCTTGTCCAGCTTACTGGCCAACTTCACCATTTTCTCCCTGGTGGCCTCTGTTCTCTTCGACAACTCTCGCAGCCTCTCATCCCCCTATAAAGAGACAGTTGGTTTTGTTTTAGGTAATGCTTTAAAATGATTGTTAACCCATTTAAAAATACACAAAATGTCCAATTTTATCGCAGAAAAATGTCACCCAGGGTCTGAGATTTGCGTTTAACCTTTGTCAAAATAACCATATTTTTTTATAAAGAAAAAACTGTTCATATTTATTTCGTGGATTTCATGAAATATATTTCAGCATTCAACATTCTGGCTAGAAACCAGTTCTTTTGAAATTTATGTCATTTATGTCATTTATTTACAAGGGAAAACAAATTATTAATAATACGTTTTATGTTGTGCTGATAACAAAATTACCATCGAGAGATTATTGATGTAAAACCTAGTTTTAAAAAAGATTTTTATACAAAAGTTGGGAATCGTTAGTGGTCCTTTTTAATTGAATGGGCCCTTAAACAATTTTTTAAAGAATTAAATCCGATTTTCTATTTATCTGGATTTTTGCAAAAATAATTAGATTCCTTTTAATCATTTAAAAGTATTACGTGTTATTATTTGTTTTAAAAAGAATAGGCAATTTATTTCAATTACTTTTGTGATCTCCATAATATGTTTCGTGTGCTTTCTTCTCTTCAATTTGAGAGCCTCTTTGTTCAAGGTTTCATCTGTACTCTTTAGAATCTGGTTCATCTTCATCTTTCCCTAGAAATAACTAGTGTTACATTCATTAAAAACAAACAAATATTCTTTCTCTGGAATAGATTATTTTTATGCAGTCAAAACCAGTATAAGGCAGTATACAGGGCCTAAACTGTCCCCCTTTTTATATAGTGCAGGGGGGGGTGCACTGCTGTAATCCCACGCCTTCATCACTTAGCATAACACGGAGTGCCTACCCTCCCCCCCTCACCCATACAAAAAAAATGACAGGCCTGCAGTTGCAGACAACATTCGTCTTTAATGAAAAATTTAGCTTTTAATTATGTGATTTATAACCGATGTAACGAGCTGAGAATAAGTTTTGTCAGCCCTTAACCGTGAGATATTAGAAAATCTAACTATTTCTCATCAAAAGTTATTGATAAAGTGGCATGTACAAAACACAGCACTACCCTTTAAAGCTTTGTCTGATAAAGTATAATTATCACAATGGAGAAATCCTAAAAATCAAACTTTTTAATTCAGAATAAACAAAAATCAAACTTTTTAATTCAGAATAAACAAAAATCAAACTTTTTAATTCAGAATAAATAAAAATCAAACTTTTTAACTCAGAATAAATAAAAATCAAACTTTTTAATTCAGAATAAACAAAAATCAAACTTTTTAATTCAGAATAAATAAAAATCAAACTTTTTAATTCAGAAGAAATAAAAATCAAACTTTTTAATTCAGAATAAACAAAAATCAAACTTTTTAAATCAGAATAAATAAAAATCAAACTTTTTAATTCAGAAGAAATAAAAATCAAACTTTTAAATTCAGAATAAATAAAAATCAAACTTTTTAAGTCAGAATAAATAAAAATCAAACTTTTTAAGTCAGAATAATTGATCAGTTTAAGGTTTAAGACAACAGTCCGAGCCTTTAAACAGAACTTACTGGCAATTCTTCATGCTTTACAGATGGTTTTGAGATCTCCATTTTCCTCTGTTGAATTTGCTTTAGCCTTTCCTTTCGATTCTGCTCTTGGGCCCTGAATCTTCTCTCTTGATCTTGGACCCTGGACCTTCTAGTTTGCTCCTGGGCCCTGGAACTACCCTGGGCGGGGTTAAGTATTGACAATTTGTTATCTAAGACTACACCAAGGGACTGGACAACCTGAACATAGATTAAATTCGTTATTAGTCCCTTAGCAAAATATAGATAGAAATTGTGTTCATGCTAGACGGAATATGGTAAAATCAACTGCGTTAATTATAGTGCTACAATTTTTGTTAAACTCATCATTGAAGGAGATTATAAATAACAAATTCTTTCACAACATTTCACCCTTACATCATCAGTTTTATTTAACTATTTAAAGTTTGCTTGAGGATTTCAAATTTAACTGAAAATCTAAATTCCTTTTTCTCCGAATCTTTTTCTATTTACTTACAGGGTGTCCCACGAAACATGACAGTTGGTGAATAGTTTTCTATTTACTTACAGGGTGTCCCACGAAACATGACAGTTGGTGAATAGTTTTGAATGTCTTCATCCATATACTGTATTATATATTAAAGACTTTTTTCAGCTTATTTAGTTCAAAAAAACTGCACTCAAATATATTTTACTTGGAAATCAATTTTACTTTAATATGGATGCCATAAAATATATATTTTCATTCTATTTGGCAACAAACAACTTGACAAATTATGGAAGAAGACATTTTAAACTATTCTCCAACTGTCTTGTTTCGTGGGACACACTGTACTTAAATAAATTTTTTTTTTTTTATATTTTCACGGAAAAAAGGATAGAACAACAAATAGCAGGAAAATGTGGGTCCCTAAGCTTAATAGTTTCGAGTTTATTTTTTGTGAAAAAGATGAATATTGATGAAGATATAGAATTGGATTAATACCTTAGCAGTAATCTCAGCAACTAGATCATCCTTGTACGACTCCATAAAATCAAGAAACCAGTCTGGACATTCATTCTAAACAAATATATTTCAAATAAACTTTTTGAGTCTGCGATTTTAAAATTTGGGTAAAATAAGACTCAAGACTAAGCTGTCATTGAGACTAATTTAAGACTCGAGCTTAGGAATAAGTTGCAAAAAAATAGGTTTAGTTAAATATGTTTGATGGATTTTCATGGTTGGAAATGGCGGATTTAGATATTTGATCAGAATAAGACTCAACATTAAAATTCTCTAAAAATAAATAAAGACAAATTCATGTGTACGTTTCTTTGTATGGTCTTTTGTGGTCAATGTCGTCGTATCCACATTCCATAACGTTATGGGTCTCACTGTAAGAAAGAAAAAACCCTCTACAGAAAAAATCTTTCAATGTAACAATTTATAATCTTTCATTTCAAGCAATGGAAAGATAATGAAATGTTTCTATATATATTTCTTTTTCATCGAAGAAAGATGAAATTAAAAATTAATTAAGCTTTATTGCACTCTTAAGATCCTGTAAAGTATTTTTTAGATTTTAAGAAACATTTAGGATTTTACCATGGCAACTACAGTACTTTTAAGATTTTAAGAAACATTTAGGATTTTTACAATGGCAACTCCAGTACTTTTAAGATTTTAATGAAAATTTAGGTTTTTACCATGACACTCAAGTACTTTCAAGATTTTTAGGAAAATTTAGGTTTTTACCATGACAGCTCCAGTACTTTTAAGATTTTGAGGAAAATTTAGGTTTTTACCATGACACTCCAGTACTTTCAAGATTTTGAGGAAAATTTAGGTTTTTACCATGACAACTCCAGTACTTTTAAGATTTTAAGGAAAATTTAGGTTTTTACCATGACCATGACAACTTCAGTACTTTTAAGATTTTGAGGAAAATTTAGGATTTTACCATGACACTCCAGTACTTTCAAGATTTTAAGGAAAATTTAGGTTTTTACCATGACACTCCAGTACTTTTAAGGTTTTTAAGGAAAATTTAGGTTTTTACCATGACAACTCAAGTACTTTTAAGATTTTAAGGAAAATTTAGGTTTTTACCATGACAACTTCAGTACTTTTAATATTTTAAGGTACATTTAGGTTTTTACCATGACAACTCAAGTACTTTTAAGATTTTGAGGAAAATATAGGTTTTTACCATGACAACCCCAGTACTTTTAAGATTTAAAGAAACATTTAGGATTTTTAACCATGGCAACTCCAGTACTTTTAAGATTTTAAGGAAAATTTAGGATTTTACCATGACAACTCCAGTACTTTTAAGATTTAAAGAAACATTTAGGATTTTTAACCATGGCAACTCCAATACTTTTAAGATTTTAAGGAAAATTTAGGTTTTTACCATGGTAACTCCAGTACTTTTAAGATTTTAAGGAAAATTTAGGTTTTTACCATGAGAACTCGAGTACTTTTAAGATTTTAAGGAAAATTTAAGTTTTTTACCATGGCAACTCTAGTACTTATAGGATTTTAAGGAAAATTTAAGTTTTTACCATGGCAACTCCAGTACTTATAGGATTTTAAGGAAAATTTAAGTTTTTTACCATGGCAACTCCAGTACTTTTAAGATTTAAAGAAACATTTAGGATTTTTAACCATGGCAACTCCAGTACTTTTAAGATTTTAAGGAAAATTTAGGATTTTAACCATGGCAACTCCAATACTTTTAAGATTTTAAGGAAAATTTAGGTTTTTACCATGGCAACTCCAATACTTTTAAGATTTTAAGGAAAATTTAGGTTTTTAGTACTTTTAAGATTTTAAGGAAAATTTAGGTTTTTACCATGACACTCCAGTACTTTTAAGATTTTAAGGAAAATTTAGGTTTTTACCATGAGAACTTGAGTACTTTTAAGGTTTTTGAGGAAAATTTAGGTTTTTACCATGAGAACTCCAATACTTTTAAGATTTTAAGTAAAATTTAGGTTTTTACCTTGACATCATCTGTGTCTGAGATCCAATCAAAAACTGAGGCCAGTTGACGTCTGGAAAATGTTAAAACATTATTTTTTGTTACAAATTTTAATTATTTTTCGTCGGAAGATCTGTTTGATATATTTTATAAAACGAAGTTGACAGAGCAGCAGAAGATCTGCAAAGAGTACATTTTTCCCTGCATCAGAAATATAATCTATAGTATATATATTAGATATACTTTGCTTGTTTGGGTGTTGGTTTGTCTGTTTGCGTCCAATAAACGTCAAAACGACTGAACCGATCAAGACCAAACTTTGTGTCGGATTTTACAAGACCCAGGGAAAGGGATGATCAAAAGTTCAAAAATTTGCCTCCAACAAAATTCGATTGTCATTAATTTTTTAAAATCCACGAACCTTTTAATTTGTATTTTTACACTGTATACAAAGAGAAAATGTTCACGATTGAAATAAAAGATGTAAGCCTTGTATTTTAAACTTTTAAATATGTACGTTTACCTTTCAAGTAAACTATTTAAATCTTTGCCACAAAGCATTGGGTTGAAACGATAAACGGATCGGAAAATCAGAGTTTGTCGCAAAAGTGCAATTCTTTTATTGCATAGATGGCAAAAAGAACTGAATACTTTCTAATCCTCATATCTTAACAACCTAACAGTTCAAATGATCAAATGGCTAAAATTTTAATTATTGACTATACTAACAGGTTGTAAAAAACTAAAGATTTAAATATTATAAGTTTTAGACAAGTATTCAGTTTAACTTTTTCTTGTCATACTGTTAAAAACTCCATGGATATTTCTTATAAAGCTATGAACTGAGTTTTTGACAAAAAATTGAAATTTTCAAAAATTTGCAACCTGATCATATGAATCTTTAATTTTTCAAACTTAGATTTTTTAATTTAACAAAATTCACAGTTTGAAATATAAGAGGTCTACAGCATTGTGTTGCAACGATAAAGGGATTAAAAAATGTGAGTTTGTTGCAAAACTCAATTCCTTTCTTTTCTAAAGGGAATTAGATATGTTTGAAACCATGTTAAATTATTTTAAAATAACTCAATATTTAGTCTTCATGAAGTTGGGCAACTTTTGTGCAAAATTTGACAAGGTAGAAATTGGAAAATAAATTTGCTTCTTGGTGAATTACAACATTAAAAACACAATGCACAAAATTCATTTAATGGGTTAACTGCAAAATTGATAAAAAAAAAGTTGTATATATTGTCCTATAAAGTGACTGTAGGTCTAATTTCAAGTAGAGAAAACAGAATTATTCATAATGAATTTTTATTGAGATATCTTATGCATTCTTGACCTGACAAAGCTTTTGAGGTTACCGTTGTGAATCGGACATGACTGTAAATTAAGAATCAAAATTGTTGACACTGTTGACCTCAAAATAATTATCAGGATTCAATTCAACCATTTCTTTTGTTTGAAATTTTTAACAAATAAAAACTGATAATTTTGATTGTGGCTTCTCTATGAAATTGACTTTCAGATGCATACAGCTGAGAGAAAAAAATTGTCAGAATTTAACACTTTTCCATTTAAAAGGGTTACAATGAGAATCTGGCGTGGAATTATTTAAATGGGGTTTTAAATTGAAAAGACAAATTTACAGTTTCGTTCACCCTTGACTAACCAGGGCGAGTTAAATTCAGTTTCGGTCACCCTGGACTAACCAGGGCGAGATGCATACAGTTTTGTTCACCCTGGACTAACCAGGGAGAGGTGAATTCAGTTTCGTTCACCCTGGACTAACCACACGTGGATTTAACGGTTCTGTCAATATTTCAGAAAGCTGTGACTTTCGATCACAATTTGACCCCTTATACATAACTGTATAGCCTTTTTTCTTAAACATTTTTTTGTTGGCATATACATTTTGAATGAAAAAGTTTAAAGATTGTTGAAATATAGACGAAAGCACGTTTGATTTCAAATAAAAGAAACAGGATGCTTCTCACTCTGGTTAGTTCAGGGTGACCAGGGCGAGGTGAATTCAGTTTCGTTCACCCTGGACTAACCAGGGCGAGATGCATACAGTTTCGTTCACCCTGGACTAACCAGGGCAGGTGAATTAAGTTTTGTTCACCCCGGACTAACCAGGGCGAGGTGAATTCAGTTTCGTTCACCCTGGACTAATCAGGGCGAGGTGAATTAAGTTTCGTTCACCCTGGACTAACCAGGGCGAGATGCATAGAGTTCCGTTCACCCTGGACGAACCAGGGCGAGATGCATACAGTTTCGTTCTCCTGGACTAACCAGGGTGAGATGAATTCAGTTTCGTTCACCCTGGACTAACCAGGGCGGAGGTGAATTCAGTTTCGTTCAACCTGAACTGACCAGCGAGATGAATTCAGTTTCGTTCACTCTGGACTAACCAGGGCGAGATGAATTCAGGTTCGTTCACCCTGGAATAACCAGGACGAGATGAATTCAGTTTCTCCTATTTAAATTTAATCACACGTGTTGATGTATAATTAACAATCTATGAACTTACGATATCCTACAGTTGTCTTGTTTTACTTTAAAGTTTAAAATGTATATCCCGACAACAAAAAAGTATAAAAAATAAAAGTCGAAAACGTTAAGTTTAACAGGTCAAATGAGAGCCGAAAGTCACAGTTCTCTGGTATATGGACCGAACCGTTAAATCGGCGTGCGTGAAGCATCAAGCAAAAGTTAACTAAATTGTCAGGATTCGATTTTTTTGTAAAACAAAATACTTTTTCAATAAAAAGTTTTTGTTGCCAGTTTGGTTTAATAATTGATACTGATGATTGAATGACGACTATAATAACTTTTGATACGCAATAAATTAATTTTATAAATTGACCGATACCCCCCCCATCAACCTCCACCTCATGACGCAGGAAAATTATTTCAGAAATTCAGTTGATTTGATTGATTTGATAGATTTTATTT